GCGGGATGTATTTATAAAGTGATCGTTACAATAAATTTCATTCCGAAAACTAAGTTTATTTTCTATCTCTTCCTGTGAAATATATATAAAATTATTTTTGTTGTTGCGTTGTTCGAAGTTTTCATCGCGATCGTCCTTCGAAATATAATAATTATTCATCGTAGTGCATCGTATTTTTTTGGCCATTCCGTTCGTCGTAAATGTGGACGTGAATTTCTTCAGACTTGACCTATGGTGACGAGCCGGCCAGCGCGGGGACAGGAATAGTTTTAGCTCAACTATTATTAGCGCAACGTTGTATCCCATACGCCCCTCGTAACTTCGTCCTCTATAAACTAAGGAGACCCATCACGCCGGATTATTTATAATATGTATCTTTCAAGGAGGGAATGCGTGAAAATTATCTCTAATCCTAGAACATACACCACAAACTCATCATCCTTTTCATACCCACATCATCTTACTACTACTACCATTAAACCTCTCTATGTTTACTACCAATGATCTAACACTTGCTTTAGCTGCAAACTCAAACAGCAGTAAACAATCCTGGGAATTTAATAACGAGTTTTCGCGCTCGTGTTTACGTAACAATAACCCAAAAGCAATATCGGTGATCCGAAAGTCCGTTATTTACGGACCGGGGCATATATTTACTTCTGTTGTTACGTAATCACGTGCGGAATGACGATCCGACTTTTATGCAATTCGCCGCATGGGGCGGAATGTCTGCAGAAGTGAACGCGGGCGAGGATGCAACGAAAACCATGTCGTCGCCAAAGTTGCTGGGCACCACTTTGGGGCGATATAAATTAGGCCTGGGGTGCAATAAAATATTTTACTTCTACATCCGTTTCGTGACCGAGTTCCGTTGATAAGAAAAGGGCAAAGACCTAGTGCGCTTTTTACAACTGTCCTATCGTTTCTTGCGATCTTAACTTGATGGAATTAAATACACACTTTTAGGTAGAAGTAAATTACAATCAAACATTGATTATGTGCATTACATTTAAACTGATTTCTATTTTATTAATACCTTTACAGTTTTCTTCAACAATTTCTTTAGCTTTCATCATTGTGATGATTAAACAGGCTATGAATTGAAAATCATTATATTATGTAGCTTTCAATAATTGTATTCAATAATTTCTAAAAAAAGACAATTTAAATTTTATTATTTAGTTTTTAAGAAATTTTAATATTCATTACTTGATCGTGGTGACTAACCAGCCTTAATTTCAGAATCTAAAATATTTATATACTGCAGTTTCACAAGAGATTTCTATGTATTTTTTTTCAATACTTTTCAGAAATTATTAAATAAAAAAAAACATTAATTTTATATGATTCGATAAAAAAATTAATAAATTTTAATTTAATTCATCATGAAAAATAAATAGTCTTAGCTTTAGAATCTAAACTATTTATATCTTGTAATTTTACAGGAATAATTAATGAAAACATAAATTTTATATGTTTTGAATTTTAAATTATTTACATTAGAATTTCATCATGCTTTAAAAACCTAAGTTTTGTTATATTTACAGCAGTTTTGATTAAATAAATTTTAAGTTATGTTTCTTTACAATCAATCAAATAAGAGGCTTGGTTTTGGATAGTTTTCGAATTGCAAATGTTAATGTTTTTAACTATATTTTATTATTTTGTTTTCAACAGTTTTTTTTTGATATAAAGTACGGAGAAAAGATATTTTTAATTAATAATTTACAGAAATCTAAAAAATCTGAATTATATAATATCGTAAAGGTGCGTTAATTGACTATTTTTTGGGTATAATATTGTAAAGTATCTATTTTAGAAGTAAAAATCTTATAAGAAAAAAGAAATATTGATGAATTATTTTTTTTCTTTAAATTTATTTTCTTAATAAATTATTGATGAAAACTGTTGAAAATGTAATCATAAAATTGGAACTAGTTTAAACTAAAAAAACATAAATATTTGTAAATTACAATTATTACTTAATAAATGTAATGTGGTTTACAAATATAGAATATTAAATAAAAATTACTTCAAAATTTATATATTTAACTAAATTATCAATAAAAACTGTTGAATATAAAAAATGAACAGTTGGAACATAATAAAAATAACTTAAAAATTTATTTTCAAAATACACAAAATTTAAATTATTTTCTTTATTAAATGATCTACGAAAAGTGTTGAAAATACGTAACAATATATCACGATTGCATTTCCTATTGGGCAATAGATTCCAAGCATTAATTGTGAATGTTTTGATTAGGCGTCGAAAATCTTGGCGTCGACAGACAAATCGGTGCGCGATTCTATCTATTTATTTTGATTTTTTCCTGGACCCGGACCCGAAATTGTTGTGCACGAAACATTTTTTGGCACCGAACGCACACGGGCAACGTAAGCTCTTGCACTCTATTAAATAATACCGTGAGAGAAATGAGTTTTCATTTGATTCGTTTTTTGTTTGTTTGTACAGCGAGATGTACAGAATCAAAGAGAAACACGTCTCTCATATCCATCAATTGCCTTTTGCATATGTTTAGTGAAGGGGGATTTGTTTGCTGGTATTGCGAGGAAACAGGACAATTAATTATGTCGCGCAATGCGAAGGGGAATGAAAATAAATAGCGTCAAGTTTATGGAATTCGTAAATTCCTTCATTATTTGAATTTTGAGACACAATTTATTGTATTTATTCTCCTTGGTGTGTCGCCTATAAAATACGTTTGTTATTACACTATTTCATGTACTTATAAAGTAACTGAGCTATATAATGGTTTAAGTCGTATTTAAAATCTTGGTTTTTGCAAAGTCTTAACATTGTATATATTGAAATAATAGATATAGTAGAAAGATTATTATTTTTCACATTTCATTATTATTTTTTTCTTATATTTGAAATTTATTGAAAAATTAAACAAATTGAGAAACTGAAATACTAAGAAATCCAAAATTTGAAATTTACTGTTAATAATTTGATAAACTGAAATACAGAATAAGTAGAAATTCGAATTTTACTTTAAATTGTGTGAGAAACTGAAATACAGTAAAACTGTTAATAAATTGAGAAACCGAAATACTCAAAATTTTAAACTTACTGTTCGAAATTTATTATAAATTGAGAAACTGAAATACTGAAAAATTGGAAATTTACTGTAAATTATTTGAGAAGTTGAAATACTAAAAAAGTGGAAATTTGAAATTTACTCTAAATAATTTGACAAACTGAAATACTGAATACGTAGAAATTCGAATTTTACTGTAAATTGTGTGAGAAACTGAAATACAGTAGAATTGTTAATAAATTGAGAAACCAAAATACTCAAAATCTTAAACATACTGTTTGAAATTTACTTTAAATTTAGAAACTAAAATGCTGAAAAATTGGAAATTTACTGTAAATAATTTGAGAAGTTGATATACTGAAAAAGTGAAAATTTATTTTAAATTATTTGAGAAATTTCGAAATTTGAAATTTACTTTAAATAATTTGACAAACTGGAAAACTGAAAACGACGAAATTTCAAATTTTCTGTAAATTATTTACCAAATTGAAATACTTAAATTTATACTTAATTCAAAATTTACTGCAAATTATGTGAGAAATTGAAAAAATCAAAATTTACAGTAAAATTATTGACAAAATTAGAAATTCGCTGTAAATAATTTGAGAACCAGAAATATCAAATAAATGGAATTTCGAAGTTTAATATTATTAAATACCGAAATAATCAAAATTTTAAATTTACTGTTCGAAATTTACAGTAAATAAATTAAGAAACTGAAATACTAAAAAAATTGAAATTTGACATTTACTGTAAATAATTTGAGAAACTAAAATATAGAGAAACCCAAAATTTGCAATTTACTATAAATAATTTGACAGATTAAAATACGGAAAAATCTAAATTTCGAAAATTGTAAATAAATTCGAAAAACTTAAATATAGAAAAAATCACTGTAAATAATTAACAAAGTGAAATACAGAAAAATCAACATTTTGGAAATTATTAATGATATTATTGTAATTTGTGTCATCTCACCATTGCTATGACAATTGACTAAAGATTTAATTAAATTTAAACGAATTCTATAAACAAACATAATACTTTTAACGCTAATTAAAACCATAATTCAAGAAGTAATAATTAATAGACGAAAAATGTATGATATTTAGTCAATGTATTTATTCCTATATCACTATAATTTGCCAACTTGGTATAAATCTAATGGAACTTTAGTACATATTTACACTTGATAGTAAACAGAGAAGTGTACTACTATGTTAGAAATATACTAAATTGTTCTATTTTTGTCTTTTTTATGCGCATTACGTTCTCCTTGTCAACTCTTACATTTACAAAATACGAAAAACCGTGCAAAAAAATATACAAAACTTAATATTATTTGAATCATTTGCTTACTAATCAATGAATTGTCTATTTGATCATTGATCATAAAAAAAATTGTGTGAACTTATATCAATATATCAAAAATATCAAATTTTTGTCAAATTTAACGAAAATCTACATTAAAAACATTAAATTTTTTCCAAAAAAAAATGTTTGCAAAATTGAAATAATTTTTGGAAATAATCGATGAGAACCGTTGAAAATGTAACAATAATAATAGTAGTAATAATTAAAAGTCATATTAATTTGTGATATTGCGAATGATTGTTGTGCGTATTTCCACTTTTCAGTGCGGAAAACATCTTCGGAACAAACGAGGATTAAATGCAAATTGTGGTGCGATATATACAAATGATGATAAATTCTAGTGATTTAGAGGCCCGAAAACGGACAGGAACAAATGTATCCATATAAAACGGAATAGAAAGAGAGAAAGAGGAGGAGACGTGGGCCGCTCCGGCGTCGAAAACAAAACATATTTATTTGTTGCCATCGCGTGTTTCCCTTTCTGGATTATTTTTAAAGCTGCCGGTCACCCTCAATATAATAACTCTTTTGTTCTTGTTTTTCTTATTCTTCTGCTTCCAGGCGTTTCCTCCACCATCTTTCCTCCTTTTGAGGACACGACCCCGCGCACAGAAGGCAACCGCCGTCGGACGCGGATCTCTTGTTGACCTGAAGAAGTCCACGTCCCACCGCGTGTCCCCGATCAGGACACAAACCCTCCTTTGCTCGGCCGTCGTCCCTTCCAAAATGACTACAAGATGATGGACACGAGCTGCAGAAACCGGCGACCGTGTCACCGCCGACTTCCGGAACTCCACACAAAACAAGAAACGCTCAAATTTTCACATCGAATACACATTTTGTACATAGTTAAACGGAACGTTGTTGGATCCACGAAAGGATTCGTAGGAAGGATCGAGTAACGTTCCTTTGTGAGGCGAGAAGTTTCCCCGCGGGATCGACTAGATTTGTATATAAGGAAAGTTTATAATTAGTAGTTTTTAAGAAAAGCGACCCGCGCGGAAAACATCCCCAATCCGCATCCAAAGCCCACCAACTTTAAGAAAATAAAATAAAACAAAAAAGAGTACTGCAAGGAACAAAACGGAAACGCGACTAGTACTAAGAATTAAAAAAAAAAGCAATAAACGTAACCCTCTGATGTTTATTATTGTCATTATAAGTAGAGATTTAGGTTTTTAAGCGTTTGTAGCAATATTTTCAATACCACTTAACTAAGTTTTATTTTCCGTTGCATTAAAGAAACAAGAAAAAAAAACGACAAAAAAAAATTGATAACGTACCTACTTATTTTATGCAACTTAATAAACACTTAAGTAATAATACTATATTATAATTAAGACAAGAATGAAATACGTAATTTATATTGTATATTGGATCGTCCGTCTTTCTACCCAGGGATCAGAGGCGATTGATATTTAAAGAAGATGAAAAAAAAAACAAACAAGTTAATAAATATTTAAACCAAAAAAAAAGGAGAGTCCAAGATCGGCCTATAAAATATTAAAAAAAAATATATAATAAAATAATAACATAGTATTTTCAAGCCAATTATATTACTAATTCATATACAAGGATTAAAAAAAAACGAGAACAAAAGTTTAATACAAGGTGCATATTACGGAATTTAGCTTTAGTGACTTTAGTACCAAACGAAGAAAATTTATAAAAAAAAAAGTTGTGTATCTTCGTGATACAAACTTGTAAAAAAAAATTGATGAATACTTATAATAAGAAGCTTCCAAATGCAATGTTTGGATCAAGTTCGGCTAGTGATATATACGAGAGTAGAGATTAGTAGTTTTTGCCCTTCAAACTCTCCCGGATTAAAAAGAAACATAAATAAATTAACAAGATTAAGCAGACAGTCGAAATTTTGTGAAACCCCCTCTATACAAGGGGATTCGGTTTAACACGTGGAGAACGGCTCTATTTAAAGACGAGATGAAATGAAAAATTATATAATATAATAATAATAGCGTATAGTGTGGCCTTTCAGAGACTATATATATATATTATATATACTTATTACGAAAATTATATGATGGAAATTATTGTAAGGTAACGATTATTGTATGATGAATAATAATAAAACAAATAATAATGTAAAAGAAGTAAACATTTAAAAAAATAAATAAAATAAACGCATGGCTCAATATTATGTATATCACACAATTCGAATATGAAACCGATTCAGAAGAGTATTGAATATTATATATTACGTAATTAATTGATTAATTATAAATGGTTCAATTGGAAGAAAAATTATATATATATATATAAAAATAAATAAATAAAGGTTCGGGGTTTCGGCCCTAAGTAAAATGTATTTATTCACTTATGATATTATTATATTGGAATAAAATGGTTTGGAAATAAATCTGTGTTGTTTTTGTTTCTCTTTCCTTACATAAATCCTTTAAGTGTTTTTCAATTAAATGTGAAATCAAATTATTAAAAAGATAAATTATACACAAATTTTGGAAATGAAATAATTTATTTGTTTTTTTTTTTCTTTAGTATCATATTTTTACATTAATTGTAAACATAATTTATTGTATAACAATATACAAAAGGAAATTTTATATTTATTATTACCAATTTCCTTTAAATAAAAATTTATTTAAAAAGGTAAGTATTTATTTTTCTAATATTTACATCATTTCTGTTATAAATTTATATAATCTGCTGTAATTTCAATGAATTTTCTCAGTTTTCAAACAATATTTTTGTTTGTCAATATATTTAAATATACGAATGTTATTAAAAAAAAAGCTTAAAATTCATCACTAAAAGGACATTAAGTAATTTAGTTATCTGGGTTTATTGTCTTGTATGTTATATGAAAAAAAAATCTATGCTTCCGTTCTTTCTAATAGTTTTCTATTTTTTGTTCAAATTGCAATAAAAAAATTACAGTTCTGTTTAATTACATGATCTAAAATATGAAAATTTTGCATGTACTTTTTCAAATTTAACATTTTTCATTTAAAATTTATTGTATATATGGATTTTAATCATTGATTTTTGGGAATATAATAAAAAATTATATTTACAATTATTTAACAAACATTCAATACATTTACTCACAGTTAATAATAATAGAGACATCAAGATTTATATATTAATTTACATAGGTTTTAGTTAATGAAACTTATCTGATAATTTAAGTTTTTCTGCAAAATATATATAGATAAATTTGTACATTATATTATTATTTCTTGGCTGGAAGACTTTTTTATTTCATGAAAATTCAGAAGTTTTGATGATGTCAATGATCAATGCTTTTGTAAAATATATTATAAGTAAATTCATAAGATATTCCTCTGACTTAAAATTTCCAAGTTTATTTCGATTTTAGATGATTTTCAATGTAAGTATATTATTTGTATACTTTGGCTCTTTGTACCAAAAAGTTATCCTACCTCTGCTATATAAAAATGACAAAAGAACAGAGTAGATTAATTGATATTATAAATTAACCCATGTTCAACGTAACTATATGTAAACTGACTTAATTAAAACATTTGTTAATTTTTATTCCATTTAATCAAAGTAAGAATTTTTACAAAAATTAAAAAAGTTTATTGTAATTTCATGTTTACTATTAAGAAATAATTTAAAAATATATTAATTTAAAAAAAAAACTGATAATTTTGTCTGGAATTATAAAATTATTCAAATATTTTGAAAATTTGTTACTTTCTACAAATTTAACATATTTTTTATAGCAGAAGTATTTATTAACTTCTAATAAATTGCAATTAATATTAAGTAAAATTAAGAACAATAAAATATTAAAGATTTTATCATTTGACATTCATTTCATTAAAAATTTAATTGAATTTGATTGAAAAATGGCAACAAGACCTATTTGTGAATCAAAATGTTTTAGTTGTTAATACAAATTAAACTAAACAACTTTAGTTTATATACAAAAGTTTTTATTTTGATGTTTATTAAAATTGATGTAAATAATTGTATATAATTAAAAAAAAAACATTAATGATTCGTTACTTTATTATAAATTTAACTAAAATTGAATGTAAAATATATATAGAAAATATAAAATGTCACAAATTGAATCAATTAATAGAACATGTAGAAAATACCCAGACATTTATAATCACGCTGCAAACCATTCATATGAACGTATTTATAGAAACACACCCGTTGTACACGTTGTCGATTTTGCTTCTTTTTTTTATACTATTTGCTACACAATTTCCGTATCCGCATTCCTGATTTATTTCATCCGCGTCTGTAATTGGATGATATATGTTATGTTATTTTTGTTCATAAAAAGAAAAGAGTGGCCGTAGGAAATCAGCAGCGTGAAAACGAAATGTGCTTAATGGAGCGCCCTGTTGGGTTCACGTTAATAATAACACTGTCGATGTATCCAGTCTCCACAATCTCTTCTTCAATATATATATATTTTTTTCATCCTCTTCTCATTTCTATTTTTTTCCATCCAGATAGATGTGCGTGTATGGTATGCTCATTTTTTTGTTCGTTTTTCTCTTCTCTTCCTTCTTGTCCTCCTTTTGGTCCAGAGATTGCGATGTTTTACAGTGGTAGTAAACAGGCCGTTGTGTGGGTGGCCTTGTGTTGGAGGAGGTTGAATGGGGAGCAAATATGAGAGGGATGTTAGGGTTGGGGTTTTGGGGGGGTTGGTTTGGTTAAGGCTAAGGGCGAAAGCTAGTGCAGAGGCTACATTAGAGGGGGTGCAGAGTCCTATCTCATTCACAGCCAGCGGCCATGCGAGCGCATTACGGATATTTATGGGTCGGAGGATTATCAAGAAAAGGCGGTTCGCGACCATCGATTTTTCAAAACATGGTCCCCCTCAAACGCACACTCATACTAACCATAGATCCAGATTGGATGTAAAGGGTGGACGATGAACAGTTTGTAAATCTATTTAAAAAAAAACGAATGTCAACGATTGAAGGGACGATTACAGATTCCGGAGAGAAACTGCGGTCCTTCAAGGATGTTCGAAATATATAATAGAAGAAAAAAATATATATACGTGAAGGGAATGCGGTTGTTGTTAGCAAATTTAACGTGTAAAAACTGGGGTCTTTCTGCGAGCATCGATCCACCACTACATCGAGGACACATTCAAGTAGTTGTTAGCAAATTGAAGGATGAAAATTAAGTTACCGAAGGCTTTCTGCGTCGATGAAATAATGTTATCACTTAAAAAGTGCTTTGGTCTTAACACTTCTTTATTACATAAAAGAAAATCTTAACTTTGATAGTTATCCAATAAAACATCAATCAAGACATGTGACATTCCTCAACACTATTTCTTAAACTATAAAATTAGTCTTTTTTTGTATTCATAATCTTATTATAGTAGATTTTTTCAATAATTCATTTTTTATTAGTTATTCGTATCAAAACATTAATTCTATATTTTATTTAAGAAAAAAATAAAATAAAAATAAGCATTATACTTAGTTTAACAGTTACATAATAATACCAGTAGACATAATAAAAGAATGAGTATGAATTAAAATATATATTAATATTGTAAACTGAAATTTAGAAGAATAAATATACTTTTTAAATGAGTTTGTAGATATCACCTAAACTTTTAATAAAGTGTAGATTTTGAGCTTTTATATATAAGTTGAAGAACAATTTCTCACATAGTTTTCATAAATTCTGTACTGAGTTATGTTACAAAATACTGAATTATTAATTAAATAAAGATACATAATTAATTCTAAATAAATATATACTAAGAATAAATACTTTTATACTAAATTGTGACTAAAAGAGAAGATAATAAGAGTAAAAAATAACAAGATAAAAACAATCAATAATTTAAAAAAAGATCAATTACACAAATATATAATGCAAACAACAAAATCTTATAAAATTTAACATCATATTAATAAGATACAATTAAGACTATTTAGAACAATCAAAATTCTAATAAAAAATGTTATATATTAACAAAAATATTACTGTATATGAGAAAACCCCATGGTATCAGGGCACTATTAAGATTCTCGTGGGTCCTATGAATAAGTTAGATAGATTCTAATTTAAATATTTTTCTGTTTTTCATGATAAATTCTCGTTCAAATTCTCGACCCAAAAAACTCGTGGTCCTTATGCACTATGCCTATTGGATATAAGATGGCACAGCATAGTACTTTATATAATTTGAATATTATTATATTAAAGTAATTAGGAAAAACATCGTTCAAAAAAGTATAATAGTTCAAATTATCATTTGGGTTCATTTGTTTCAAATTATCTTATATTATCTTAAAGTATATTTTTTGTGTATACCTAAACAGTATTTTAGACAACTTGTATATATAATATTGCTACTGTTTGCAAAGACTAGAATATTTGAAGATTTACCATAAAAATAAATACTTAGAAGAATCAACTTTTATTGTT